CAGCTCTTCTATTCCTCGGGGTATTCCCAACACACACGTACACATACGTTCAATAAAAGACATGTACAAAAGTTCATTGCAGCCCTATTTGAAATAGCTAAAAACGGAAACAACCCAAATATCCACCAATCAAACGGATAGAGTGTGGTATTATACATACAATCTATTCATTCGTATGATGGACTAATAGCAGCGAGAAGGAACAAACAACTACCCCCAGCAAGATGGACGAATTTCACAAGCACTGAGTGAAAAAGTCTGGAGCCAAAAGAGTTCATCCTGTATAATTCCATGTATATGATGTTCAAAAACAGGTCAAACTAATTTTGGGGTTAGAAGTCAGGAGTATGGCTACCCTGTAGAAAGTAGTGACTGGAGGCGGCATGAAGGGGGTTCTCCGATGCTTAGGAAATTTTGTTTCTTGATCTGGGTGTTGGTAAAATGGCTTTGTTAATTTTGTTATATTGTATCTAGCTCTACGCTTCTGGTTTGTATACTTTCCTGTATGTGTATCACACTTCACTAAAAAGTTTACTTTAAAGAAAGAGTCTGAACTGACATTTCAGCCAAATGTAATATATGGACCTTGCCTGGGTCCTGATTCAAAAAAAAACTGTAAAAAACCTTTCATGAGATGACTGAGGAAATCTGAACAGTATCTGAATATTTGATGATATTAGGGAATTATTGTTTATTTTTTAAGTGAAAAATACTGTTTTTTTAAAAAAATGTGATGGTATTGTGGTTATATTGCTAAAAGATTATTTAAGACATATACACACACACAGATAGAAAATGTCTAGGAACTCCCTAATTATCCGGGGGGAAAGCGGGGAAGGGTGCTGACATGAAACAAGACTGGTCATGAGTCAGTTGTTGAAGCTGGGTGATGAGTACATGAGTGTTTGCCATACTTTTTTCTTTTTTTGTTTTTTGTGAGGCAGATCAGCCCTGAGCTAACATCCCTGCCAATCCTCCTCTTTTTGCTGAGGAAGACTGGCCCTGGGCTAAGATTCGTGCCCATCTTCCTCCACTTTATATGGGATGCCGCCACAGCATGGCTTGACAAGCGGTGTGTCGGTGCATGCCCAGGATCCGAACCCCAGGCCACCAGCAGCAGAGCGTGCACACTTAACCACTGTGCCACCGGGCCGGCCCCTGCCGTACTTTTTTCTATACTTTTGAATATATCTGAAATTTTTACAATAAAAAGATGTGTGTGTATGAATATGTATATATGTATAAGTAGGAATAAATCCAACAAAAGATGTGTAAGATTTTTATAGAAAAAATTATAAAACTTTATTTGAAGATTTTTTTTTAAAGAGACCCGAATAGACAACTAATGAATAGAGAAATAACCCATGTTCCTGGATGGGATGGTTCAATATTGAAAGATTTCAATTTTCCTTAATCTATCAATTCAATGCAATTCTAACCAAAATCTCAAAATAATGTTTTGTGGAACCTGAAAACTGACCCTCAATTCATATGGAAGAGCAAAGGTCCAAGAACAGCGAAAGCAATTTTGAGAACTAGGATGGAAACTTGCCTCTCTTGTTACCGACCACCGCAAGACACGCTATGAAACCAAGGTAATTAAAACAGTGTGACAGCGGCATTAAGACACGTGCACCAGCGGAATAAAAGATCCCAGACACAGATGCGTGCATTTATGAGAACTCTGTCTGGGACAGAGCTGGCTTTACAGTTCACTGGGTAAAGGATTTCATAGATGGTGTTGGGACAAATGATTACCCAATCAGAAAATAATAAAACTAGGGCCAGCCCCGTGGCTTAGCGGTTAAGTGCTCGCACTCCGCTGCTGGTGGCCCAGGTTCGGATCCCGGGCACGCCCCGACGCACCGCTTCTCCGGCCATGCTGAGGCCGCGTCCCACATACAGCAATTAGAAGGATGTGAAACTGTGATGTACAACTGTCTACTGGGGCTTTGGGGGAAAAAATAAATAAATAAAATTATAAAAAAAAAGAAAATAATAAAACTAGATCTCTATATCATACACAGAAGCCAATTTTAAATGGAAAGTAATTCATAATAAAACATATGTTTAAATATACAAATGTTCAGGCTGACTGCACTAGAATACATAATGAAGTACAGCAGTCAGATGCTTGCACCTAAACTTAGAATCACCACGATTGCAAAAGCTACAAACGCAGGCTGATGCAGGTGTGCTGGATGGCAACTCAAATACCACGAGCTGGGCTGCCTTCAGTTATGTGATTTTCTAGAGTGATGAAAAACTCTTGTTAAAGTTCCAAACCAAAAATAAGTATAATTTCCCCTTGATTTACATTAGAGTTGCATTCCTGGAAATTTTACTACATTAAACTGTGCCAAAAAATACATTATGTTTATACGAAAAATAGAGTTAGGTTCTAGGCTCATATCATAAATGAGTATCCTGTGGGACACTCAAAAATTGTGCAAGATGCAGGGCAATTCTTCACTGTGAGGGACTGTCCCATGCATTGCAGAACATCTAGCACCCCCAGCCCTGCTTTGTAAACCCCAGCAGAGCCTCCAAAATCACAATAATAACCAAATTCCAAAATGACCAAAGGGGCAGTAGCCTCCCCTTGGAGAACCACTGTTCTAGAAAAACTCTTGCATCAAGAGACATGTACAAAGATGTTTGTCATAGCGAAACACCTGGAAAAACCTAACTGTCCATCAGTAAGGGAATGGATACAATATCATTGACTCATAATGAACACTTAAAATCAATGAACTTGATCTGTGTGGATATACTATTTTCTATACTCTATGTATCTCAAAAACAATATTGAGTGATAAAAGCAAGTTGCAAAATGAAGCCCGCAGTACTACACTACTTGTATTTTTAAAATTTAAAAAACCTAAATGGTAATATATATTGTTTATGATGTATACATATAAACAGTAAACATATAAACACACGGGCATGGATGATGCACAATTTCAGAAGAGTGTTTGTCTCTGCGGAGGGAGGAAGGAAGGGGAATGGGGCCAGGAAAGAGAACAAAAGGGATCTGAACTAAATCTGTGATGTTTTCTCTCTTTAAAATAAAAAAACTTAAGCAGATGTGCCACAATGTTAATGTTTGTTAATCTAGTTGGTAGGGAATAGGTATTTGTCATACTGTCCAGTGAAATATTCACTATTTTTGAAATAATTCTTAATTTTTAAAAAGGTAACTGGTGGCAGGGTGCATATGAATTGAGATCAGAGAACAGAGATTGGCGACCAATTAGGAGACTATCGCAATTCTCCAGATAAGAGATGATGGCCTGAACTTAGCTGTGAAAACAGAAAGGAGTCAAGGGAGAAGGTGTTAGAGATGACTCAGGTTTCCTGCTTGGTTGACTGAGCTGGTGGTACTGCCCTTAACAAGATAATTAGTTAAGTTTAATTGCTGCTGTTTTGGATATTACACAAATAACCTGTAAAACTTGGACCAATTCTAACACCTAGAATACAGGGCAAATGGTAGTTGAAGCTGGTATCATTAGAAACACTGCCCTTCGGGCCGGCTCCGTGGCTTGGTGGTTAAGTGCGCGTGCTCTGCTGCTGGCGGCCCGGGTTCGGATCCCGGGCGCGCACCGACGCACCGCCTCTCCGGCCATGCTGTGGCCGCGTCCCACATACAGCAACTAGAAAGATGTGCAACTATGACATACAACTATCTACTGGGGCTTTGGGGGGGGGAAATAAATAAATAAAATCTAAAAAAAAAAAAAAAAAAAAAAAAAAAAAAAAAGAAACACTGCCCTTCAATCCCCATACAAGCTTAAAAGTTCCTGAGGCATTGGGTTCCACATATGGTACGGCTTTAAAGTAATGAGAGGGGCCGGCCCCGTGGCTTAGCGGTTAAGTGCGCGCACTCCGCTAAAGCAATGAGAGAAATATCCCAAGCTCTTATAAGAATGAGGTTTATCACTTTATAACCAAACTGTACATTTTCTTACTAAGCGTGGAAAGGAAGGGCTGGATATAGTATAGAGTGCTGCTGTGGGGAAGGAATGAATATCTAGTCATTTTATCGTGTTAATTCAGTGTGGGAGTAATACTTGTGATTATTTCCCATATTGAAAGAGCTCAAGTATTGAGTAACACGTGATTAAAAAAATTAAAGCAATGGTGGTTTTATTTAATGTCCAGGGCTTTTTCAAACTTTCTCTGAGATCAGATGGTTTAGCCAACCTGGTTTCCAGAGTAAGCCCAGTTACTCAATGCCTGTGGCATTTAAAGCAGGTAGACCTGAGTCAGAATTACAAAATTTGTCTAAATTTGAACATCCTGTTTAGTAGCTGACAACAAGAGCAACGACAGGGCCAATTTCTTCCCTTGGTGCTCATGCTGTGAGGTCTTTCTTTGGAAAGAGTTTGTCCAGAACTTTTCAGAAATATGTGTAGCTCATTCCTCATTCATTTAACAGCTGGTTCTACACACCCTTTCACCCAGCTCAGAGAACACTGATAGAGGCATTAGGGTGACTGACGCCTGCATATGTAGCCTATTTGATTAAAAATACACTGCTCACAAACCGATCATGTGTGAGAATACTAATGGCCATTACCAGATGTCTTACTGTCCAGTACAAATGTGGATTCCATGGAGCGTACTACGGCCCTAGTGCTGCTGGTGGTGGGAGACAGGTACCTCACCCATTCCCATATTTTCACAGACTCAAGGCTTTGAAAGCAGCAGAAAACAGCAGCTTACAGAAGTAAACTGCCCTTTTGGAGGATTCCTTTTCACTTTCCTTTATAGCTGTTCCAAACCTTCAAAAACAATTGGGGGGGCTTTCACATTTTTATTTTTCTACTGTAAACACTTCACTATTTGAATTTTAAAATATTAGGATAATGCCTCTACCTTTGATTAAGTAAAATGCAAGTCTGGGAAAAATCAATTGCCAAGCTACCTAAATGCCACCGATGTGGCATCATCTCTTAACGCACGAAAAGGGAGCTCAATGCGTCCAGGTCACGTCCTTCCACCCTTTTTCCTGGGCGGTGTAGCGATTTGAAAGTGATTGTGTGTCTGTTAGCTACATCACCCAGGGGCTCCCAAGACAGCAGCACTCCCGTGCAGGGGTGTGAACACTCCAGTAATGAGAACTCTAGCTTCTCTTCCCAGCCTTGTTGCTGATTCAAACTAGCGACAGGAAAACATTGCCCCCCAGGTCTCCAGAACGTTCGCCCGGCTACGTCCCAGTAGTTGGAGCGATTAAGATTTGGGTCATAAGGTATTTGAATCAGGCACTGACATTTCACTTTCTGAGGAGCATGAAAATTATAACATTCCTTCCTTCTCTGCCTGCAATTAAGTATTACCGGCCGCCGGGCCTTGGGACAGATCGGCGGCAAGAGTGTCTAAGAGGTCCGTGCCCCGCCATCCGCCCAGGCCTTCTTCCAGCCTCCTCACCCCAGCCTCCGCCATTCTCTCTTCTCTGCAGCCGCCCCTACTTTCCTCCCCTCCACCCCCCTCACCTGGCTCCAGCTCTCCGGAATCCCCTACTCTCACCTCACAGCGCGGCCTGTTCCAGCGCAAAGGGGCTTTGGTCTACTTAGGACGAATCACAAGTGGGCTTTCATCCAGGCGATTCCGGAGTCGCTAATCAGCACCGCTCTTTCAACGCCCAGCTTCCCCCTTATTTGCTTACCGCCGCCGCGGCTCCAGGCAGCGCGGGGCGCGGGGGGTGGGCACGTCGCACTCTGTTACGTCCTCCGATTGGTCAGTGCCAGTCGGTCCTAGGAGCAGCCTCAAGTTCGATTGGATAGAGGTTGTCTTGGCTCCCCCCCCTCGCCCCACCCCATTGTCAATCACACCATCCCTTCGGTAACCCATCGGACCGTTGGTCAGTCTAGCCTGAGGGCGGGTTGTTGGGCGGGAGAGAGCTGCTTTCCCGCCCTCCCTTGCTGTTACCATGGAGACTGCACAGCCCAGCCTTGACGCCGAGGGTCCAGGCAACCCCTTCGCCCTTCTCGAAGTCCGGATATTTGTACAGCACGCTAGACATTAGTGCCTGTTCCGGAGTCTGATGAGCAGCTCAGTCCCGGACCCACTGGCTCTGGTCGGCCGCGGGATTTTGGGCGCAAATCAGATTAGGCCTCGGAGAGGGGGTCAGGCCCAGTCATCAAGGGTCCCTAACAACCCTCCTGGAGAGAAGCGAGACCGACGCACTAGTTGTAATGACATCACGTTTTCATTTATCCTTACTTCGTCTTATTTTATTTGGCGTTATTCTTCCGTTAGCCTTACGAAGTAGACGGTGGCAAGGATCATTCTACTCACGGGACAGACAGGGGAAGAGAGGCCAGGGTCAAGCAAGTAAATCTTGTGTAGCTACACCTCCAGGCAGCTGGAACTTCATCTGGTCCATACTTTTAGCAGACTGCTGTTACCTAACTGCAAACTAAAACTTGCCATGATTTTGTTCTGAGGCTATGGCCTGTTAGACCAAAAGATCCAAAAATCAGGCCAACCAAAGGAAATAGGGCAGTGGATGCATGCTCCGTTGCTGAATCAGCAAGGGAAAACAGACAAAAATCAAAATAAACAATACCAGATTCTGGTATTGCAGTATCTGAACCTTTGACCTTAGACAAAATTCTAAAACATCATAAAGCAAACTATTCAATCCTGGAACACTGAATCTCTGATTTAGGGAATTCAGCTCCTGAATCATAGCTTTGTGACTGAAATGGAAGAAGATGGTCGAATTCCGTTGAATGTATGTCTCAAATTTATTCGCTTTCAAGGTTTCATTTGCAGTCATATGTACTAACCAATGATTTCTTATGTGATTAACGTCTTAACCTTACTTGGCCCAGTGAGGAGCTCTGTGGTTAAGAAAGCTATTATTTTGATGAATTCATTTCATTGGAATTGAATGTTAACTGTAGCTAAATGCTGGTAGGGACCGTGAGGATACAAAAGAAATATGATGTGACTCCTGCCTTAATAGCCTGTGGTTTGTTAATGTCAACAGCATATGAAACAATAAGGAAACACTTTAAAGCAAGACATAATGTGCCAAGCTTAATTTATAGTTTATTGCCCCAAAATATAATAATAATAATTCATATTTGCAGAGCATTTTGTAGTTTTCGTAGCACTTCTTCACTTGTATTATCTGAGGGATATATTGTTTTGGCTGGAGTTAATGTGAGTCTTCATGGTATAGCTAGAGCTAATGGTGGGCCCTGGCATATGGCGAGGAACGGGAAAGTTGAAACAGAGATGGAAGGAAATCCCGGGCAAGAAAATAGTTTGAACAAAGAGGCTCAGACAAGAATGAGCACTGACTATCTGGAGAATAATGTGGAGACTGATCTAAGCCAGAATGGAGACAAATAATGGAAAATAACACTGTGTAGACCAACTGGTCAGGACCAGTTCTGAGCCCTGAATGTTTGGGGGCAAAGTGTTCCAAAATTTGAGATTGGGAAAATTAATCTTCTTACACTTCTAATGATTAAACTGACTTTAGTTAAATTATAAATTAAGAATAGGGCATGACTGAGGAGGCACTCCAAACTTCTTACATCTTCCTGAATGGATATAACATTTTAGATTTTCTCTCTCATAAGAAGGGACCCTCCCCTCAAGCCTAACTCTATCTCATCCGTTAACTGGGAGGAGGTGTTAGTTTTGTGATTAAATAATGATGTTATACCTTCTCACTGAAATTGGGAGAAGTGCTGTTACCAGTGCTCATCTTTTGCCATCTCTTAATCAAAGTTCACTCTAGAGAAGATTGGTTACTTGACTATCCAGCCTTTCTCTTTTTAAAAATTGTCTTCTGTACACCAAGTGTTCTACAGTGCCTCTCCACATTGCTCCACATCTCTGCTATATACGTATCACTCATATTGTGCTTGTAGAATGTACATAGGGTGCCATATATGTACGCATATCACTTTGTTTAATTACAGTTTTCTTTTCTCCTAAACAGACAACAAAGTCAAATCAACAACAACAATAAAAACCAATGTTTAATTTCCTCCTTCTCAAATGTGTAAAATCATTTGTTTTGCTGCCTGATAGAGGTAGGGAGGCAAAAAGACGTCAGTAGGGTTATGGAGTGCAAGGAACGATTTCAAGAGAAGACAAAGTGTTCTTCTTCATTTTATAGTTGTCAAAACTTTTTCTGCCAGAGAGCCTTGAATTTTTTGTATACATGTTCTCATGTGTGATTATTTTAGCATTTCTGCAGGTCTGAAAATGTACCAAAAACTTAAGTAATTGTTGGCTATTAGCTGAGACTCAAAAGCTACCATTGCTCTGTTCTGGTAATTTGATGAATCCATTTAATTGGGAAACTGAGTAAACAAAAATTTTCCCCCAGTACTATTGTCAGTAGTTGACAGTCTTCCAAGGTCACCCAGAATTACCACCATGATTTTTCAGATTATAATATTTACCTGATGCTATAGACCAGGGGTCAGCCAACTATGGCCTGTGGGCCTAATCCGGCCTGCCATCTATTTTTTGTATGACCTGCAAGCTAAGAAGGATTTTTATATTTTTAAAGGGTTGAAGAAAGTCAAAAGAAGAAAAATGTGAAAATTGTATGAAATTCTCAGTGTCTGTAAGTAAAGTTTTACTGGAGCACAGGCCCACTCATTTGTTTATGGTTGTCTATAGCTGTTTTTACTTTACAACAGCAGAATTGAGTTAATACAGAAACTGTATGGCCCATAAGCCTAAAGTTACTAGTGGGCGTATAAGGAAAAGTTCTGATCCTTACTGTCTTAGAGGTCTCTAATGAATCAGGTCCCATGCAGTGTTGGAAGTGAAACAGGCTTTGGAAATCATGTAGTTTTAATAAAAAAAATCTCACATTGATAGAGATAAGTTACTTCTTGCCTAAAATCCCATAGTCAGTGGGCAGAACTGGTACTAGAACTCTGGTTCCACTGGTCCAAGGTTTCTTCATCCATGCTGTGTCTTTTCTTGTGTAGAGCTTATCTTACTTAGGATGGGATAGGTGTTATATAGTCCAAAGGCAAGGAGAATTCACCAAAAACTGTCCTAATTTTGATCTCATGTCTCATCCAGACAAATCAGTGCACTATAATCAATTTATGGATACTCGGACTTTCATGATTTCAGCCGATATGAGTTGTCTTCTGTTTTCCATTTTTATCATTTCTCAAAAGGTGTATGGCCATCATGAAAAACTTCCTCACTTTTATGCTCTTTCTCTCTTTTGAAAAATCTCTTTGTCCTTCAAGAAAGGAATTCAGAGGTGGCTGACTTTCTATTCCAGTCTAAGTTTCTTGAGGGAGGTGAGGATGATTGGAAAGGTACAGAACACAGTTTTTACTCTGGAGTCTATGGATGGGTCCTACATGTGAAGAGGAGAGGGAGGCTGTCCACAAACCCACTGAATGGTAAGGTTTAGTGTATATGTGGGCTTTTCTGGGGAGAGTATCCATAGCTTTCATACCATTTTCAAGAGTCCATGACCCCAAGAAGACTCAGAATTATAGATATATCAAAAGAGGTGTGTTTTGGGGAAAAACCTGCTCAGATGTGTATGGGGGAGACTGATCTAGGTTTTCAGGTCACTAAGACCTCAGCTGATATGAAAGGAGAGCTCTTTGCCCACTCACATCAGCCCACCCAAGTTTTTTACCTTCTCTGACTCTCATAGAGGTGATAAAAATTCATCAGATTCACATAAGGGTTGAACTCAGATGGTGATGAAATCCCAGTATAATTCTCTCCAAAGAACGCTCTGATTAATAGAAACTGCAGAGGAACTAATTTTATGAAAATAGCAAATGGGATTGTTTTAGCTGAAGCAAGCCGGGAGAGCGGGTGCTGATGCTGAGCAAAAGACGCAAACAGCCCCATTGTGTGGAGCTGACAGCTCCACTGGCCGTTTATTTATTAGATGTCTTTCTGCTGTAAATTATTAAGCCTGAATTCTGGGAGATGAGGGAGCTGACAGAGTAAGACAATAGAACGGAAAGCAAACCTGGACAGCTTCCTTCAGTATTATTGTGGCATTGTGTCTTGTGAAAGCCTCTGCCTCCCCTGGTTTGGAGAAGGGGGAGAGTCTCTTCTTTGATGGGACTCAGAAATGGACAAGACAAGTAACATGCTTTTGATTTCTGAATTATTTGCCAGTTCTTACAAATCAGAATGTCCTTCAGAGAAAATTCAACCTGTTGGCTCAACAACTGGCAGCCAGGTTTTTCGTCTATTCTCTGAAAGGGCTGTGCGGCCCAAACAAGGAAGAACTTGGTCTGCTTTAACATTAAGAAGGAACAAGTTAAGGTAAATTAACTTACCATTTAAATGTTTTAGGGTACTCAGCCACCGGAAGATTGGGTTCTTTTGGCTTAT